GCAACGACAGTCGAGAGTCCTACGGGAGAGCTGTCGTCGTCTCATCGACTCCTTGACTCACCAGTGTTTTCTTCCCTTCATCCGGTGTATCTGGGAGGAACAACAACAACGGCGTGCCCGTCTCTCTCTGCCTGCTGCCTCTTTGTCCACTTCTCAAGCATTTTACTTCCCAAACTACAAGGCTCGCTGAATCTTTTACTCCCATTCGGTCTGGTACCAAGCAAACCCAACGCAGGGCATGATCAAACAGTAGTGAAAAATGAAAATAGGACTAATGTATATTGACACACCTTAGCCACTCGGTTTCTGCCTCTCTCTCTCCTGAGTTCTAGCCTTGTCTCTCTCTGTCTGACTCCGTGTACCTCTCTCTCTGCCCCTGGAATGGGATTCGGTCTTTCTGCAGGGTCGCCCTGCCTGTAGCTGCAGTGTGGAGTACTGTGTGGGGGGCTGCTGTGCACAGGTGGGTCACATTCCAGCTCCCCCTCCTCTCCTGACGCCTACAAGGAGGGGAAAGAGAGAAGGGATTTGGGTGAGGGCTTCAGTGCACACAGCCTGTCCTACTGGGCTCCCCATCTCCAGCGCTAGATGGCAGCCAGCCACGTCTGGCCCAGGGTCAGTTGTCTTGTCATCCCAGCAGCTAGCACGCCAGTAGAACGGCAGCGTGCTGGCGCCACGTCTGAATGCCAAATCTCGTTTGCACAGCAGACCCGTAAAAGAGCAATTACACTTGAGAGCTTGGTGCCTTAAACTGGAACAGCAAGTGCTGATTCAGTGACGCTGCTAATGGGCATGTCTTTACAGCGGCGTGTCAGTGTTGCCACCCAACTTCTCCCCACTGTAGTGAGCCACTATTGAGACACACATCACCCCAGTGTACTTTTTCATGCTCATATTAGTACTGACACTGTTATCCAGAGTAACATACTTTTCTAACCATCTATGCAGCAGGGCACTTCATCGCCACGTTTTGAGTGGAGCACAACTGCAACATCCCACCTGGATTTCAACCCAGCACCTACTACTTACAAGACCACAGCCCTGGCCACCACCTCACACTGATCCTACACCATCCCAAGACAATACATCAATACTAATATTGGAGGGAGAGGCTGGGAATTCAATGAGGGTTATTAATACTGCAGCAGGACTTGGCAACTCTCCATGATACGTCCGGGAGGTATGTTATTGGGAAACCCTATAAAAGACGCAGGATTGTCATTTCACCTGAGAGAAAAGGCACACACACACACACCCAGACGCACAGTCTGTGACCTGGGCACAGCCTCCATCTGCAAAGTTCAGTGTCTCTCCACCACGGAAGATGCTCACTGACTTGATGTTTCAATGCAGGAGTGTGCATCTTAAAGATCAGCCGTAGCAAATATGGAGCAGTATGTTGGACATTAGTGGGGCATTGTTCGCACAGTGTCCTGGCTTATTTTCACTCAAAAGAGCTCTGGAATCCACATTCCCCGTGCCAGCTGTGTGAGTGTGTGTGTGTGGTACAGAGAGGGCTCCGGTTAGTGTGCCGAATGCTCTCTGGACAGAACCGCACAGCAGCCCTGGGCTCTGAACTGCACCTTTACCAACACGGGGCGATACCAGTCTGGACACCTGGCCTCAGGTGGATCTGGAGCTTACAGTCCAGGGAGCACCGTCCTCAGAGCCTGTAAGTGCCAGCTCCCCTCCAGCCTGCCTGCCTGCTCTGTGCTGCAGTCTGCCCCCCCCTCTTCCTGTACCACACAGTGCTGAATCAGCGCCGAGATGAAAGAGAGATGAAGCTGGCGAACCCCTGACCCAGTTTCTGTCGCAGGGCCGCGGGCTCTCCCCCTCCCCCTCCTCCTCCTCCCACCGGCCTGTCCCATCCCGTCCCATCCTGTCCCCCGCTCCGGTACTGCAGATCCGCCTCCTGCTCCGGACACCCGTCCCCTGGAGCGACAGGGCTAACGGATCAGCACTGCGCACGGCTGACAGGAACCCTCAGAGAAAAGCACTGGATCAGCATCAAGAAGACACGCAGCCTCGCTCCAGGAACTGGCAAATAACGAGCATTTAATTGTCTGCGCAGGTACTTCCAGAGAGCTTGTGATGCGTGCTGACACCCCGAGAACACTGCACCACACACACAAACACAGGCTGAGACCTACCCAGAGAAGAGTGGCTGTATCAGTCAATAATTAGAAAACATTAACCGGTAGCTGACAGTATAAAAGCTTAAATGGAACAATAGGGACCGTTGCTACTTTATGCATTTCTAGGGAGCTCCACAGCAGGGCAGGCTGAGCCTACAGAAGTAATCCAGCAGGTGAGGAGGCATTCCGTCAATCCCCCAGCGAGCTCTGTCTCGAACCGACAGGGGCCGGCGCGCACCTGCCGGCATCGCGGGCACTGCGGCCGACCACCAGCAGAGGGCGCCGTGGGCTCGGAGTTCTCTCAAATCCGCAAGAACTTGATCACAAGACCTTACGACATTTCTTGTGTTCGAAGGAGGGGAGTCTTTTCCAAAGCTTTATATCTTTCTCAAAAGGAAAAAAAATGCTTTTCGTGATCCTATAATTAGCGCTAATTAGTTGTCCTATTATTTTCTATTTTATGTTTAGGTCTATCTCGACACAGTGTGCAAACACCAAGCACAGTAAAAAGGTAATAAACAAGAAATTAATCAAGACAATCATTCTGCTTTCAAAATAATTAAACAAGACAGCAGATGGGAGAACAGGAGGCTAAGGTCAGAAAGGGTTTATAAGAAGCTTGTCATTGTGACCAAAGCCTAGTGGTTACGTTTACTTAATTAAGGAAATTATGACAGTTAGATTAATGAAGTGGCGTAAGAGTTGGACAGAATTCAACTGCAGGACTGAGTTGATCACCTCTAATTCAATAAAAATGTGGCCTGGCTTGTCTCACAGTCAGACAGCCAGAGATCATATGACGAGGCTTCCATTGTCTGCAGGAGGAATGTAAATAATTTTGGCCTCCATGGAAACCCTCCACACTGGGGGGTCAGGCTGCTTTGTCCCTTTTTCTCTCGGCAACAACATGACTGTCTGTAACCTTGGGAAATCACCAGGGCGACTAGAATAACCCAGGGGAGGGGAGGGATGATCTTGGCTGGGGTATCTGAGCTGAATTGCAAGCAACTTCTCTCTGTGCAAGTACTTGTGTAGAGAGAGACGGTCGAAACAATACCTGTATAAGAGAACAGCACTGTGACGACTGCACTGATCTCACACACATACACAGGTTTTCTACGACGACTGATGTGTGCACTGATCTCACACAGGTCTTCTGCAGCACTGTGAAGACTGGCAGTGCACTGATCTTACACAGGTCTTCTGTGAAGACTGACGGTGCACTGATCTCACACAGGTCTTCTATGAAGACTGACAGTGCACTGATCTTACACAGGTCTTCTG